TGGTACTTCTGCTTCTAGAAGAGAGAGTCTATTGCCAGTGCAGTTAGAGTCAAATTTTAATTACAGAAACAGAACTCCACAGATATTAACTGGTAGAGAGAATGGGGTAAAGCAGGTAATGAGCAAAATAGTTTCAACATTAAGAGCAGGGAGTGAATAAGCATGTCTTCTTCTCAAAGTAGAGGGGGACAGACTGAAAACCAGGAAGAAGAAAGCCTCAAATGAACCCTAGTAAGTAGAAGCTGCTAATCCCTAAAGCCGCAGAGTAGAGTGCAAAGCCTTGGAAGAAAGAAATTAATAACTTTCAAAGTATGACCTTGAAAATGGAATTAACAGTATTCCTCCCTTTTAAGCCTTCATGATAATAAAGATTTCATCTTCTGAAGCCCTGGCAAGAGTCAACAGAGTAGAAAAATGAGTTCTTGCAGAGGGGCTGGCAAGTGTAAAACCTAAGGCCCCTCCTCATGTCACTGTGGTGCCTATTCACTTTCCCTTTACCTTCTCCCTTAGAGCATTTTTTATTCCTCCCTTATTTTTGGTCCTCTTATTTGTTCACAAAGCCACTCTCCAGCCATTGCTATAAGTATAGTTAACCTATCAGCAGCAACAGAGCCTCATAGGATGGAGAGAAGCTTGAAAAACAGCTTGTGGCTCCACTTGCTTTACCATCATTACTTTTTTCCCTTCACAGAGGAGTCCTTCTAGACTGTCCCATGCCTTCCCCTGCCCTCACCTTCAGTCAGAAACTCATGGGGTCTGATCAGCATCTTGCACAGCATTTTATCTCATGTTCTTTGAGAAGATCCCAGGGACAGTCACCAAAGCCAGGAAGAATCCTGTGGCTCTCTGATGCCCTTTGGAACTTCTCTGTGCACCCTTGTCTATGAGCACTACAAACTTACCAAGAGCTTACTAAGTCTTACTAATGTAAATAAGATAAAAGTGGACACCAGCTGCCTCTTTTCCTGTTTCCATTTTGGTCTGTTCAGGTGATAGGACGTGGGAGCCAGTGGGATTCCAGGCTGGTGAATGTGAGTGTGAAACATGGAGACACATGCTGGGTGATTGAGACCACAGCTAGGTGATTTTGTCCCTCTCTATTTAGACCAAGAACATGTCTATTCCCTGCTTGCAACCAGTACCATTCCATTTGAGATGGCATGTAGCAAGGAAGGATGATCATAGTCAGTGGATGGAATGGAGCTGACTTAGGGTCTGGCTGCCAACTGGACAGAAGAAAGGGAGCATGGCCTCTGGCTAGCTAACCAGCATGGCTAGCTCTGCAAGGGGCTGGCTGCACTCAGACTCCCAGCTCTCCTCCTGTTGCCGGTCTATCCCATCCGACAGAGGCGGCAGCACCCACTGCAGAGCCCTTGGCATTGCAGCATCCCTCCTCCAGCACCCATGGGCTGGGCTGGGCTGCTAGCCCGTTGCGAAGGGACTTTCGCGGGGCTCTGCTGAATCCTGCAACGGTGTTTTCTTCATAGCTGCTTTATCGCTTGTTTTCCCTTTGTTTTTTCTCTTCCTTCCGCTGCCACCTGGTGGGAAGAAATGCACATTGCTTAGGGCGCAGCCATTCGCTCGCCTCTGCGCCGGCACTACAGCAGCTTTTCCTACGCCTGAGCCGATAGAGCTACTCCGTCCCACTTCAAGCACTTTGCTTGGCCTGGCCGTCCTGCGGTGTGCTGGGGAGGCTGCAGAGGGAGGAGTGAACTTTCAGGCTGCAGTCAGCAGCGTGCAGCACACCAGCCTTTCTCTTAGTGCCAGCATCTTGAAGTCACAGTAAAAGGTGACACCCAATGTAATGCAGGGCCATAATATTGCTGCTGGCAGCCAACTGCCACCACAGTCCTTAGAAGCTGGGGGAGGCCGTGGATGCAGAGGTCTTCAAGGAGCCTATAAGTGCCCCATCCCTGGAAATGTTCAAGGCCAGATTGGATGGAGCCCTGGGCAGCCTGAGCTGGTGGGTGGCAGCCCTGCCCACGGCACAAGGTTGGGTGGGCTTCGAGGTCCATTCCAACCCAGGCTGTGCTGTGGTGCTATGATAAGTGTCTGGGCAAGGTCATGAAAGAAGCAAATTACACAACATGGAAACATTCCCCTGCCAGAGGCACTAGCCTATGATGCCATAAGCAAGTGAGACCCTTCTGTGGGAAGGGTCATGCAGCCATAATGGCAGTGAGTGCACATAGGGCTGATGAGGCTGCTTCATGCCCAGCACAGCACAGATAGCTGAGGCTGGATGTGGTTATCCCATGGCAGCAGTCTGTCCTGCTGCACACCTCACCGTCTGCAAGCACAGAAAGGGAAATGCAGCAATTTTACTCTCTGTTCCTTCCAGATCCGTTTGATATGGCTGGTCATTCGGGTTCTGGGGTCCCTTAGGGGCATGCTTATGAAACACTGCTAGATAAGAGTATTAACTTATCATCCTCACAAGCCCAATTTCCCTGGCTATGATGGAAGGAACCTCCTTGAATGTTATTGCACGGCCATGGCCACAGAGCGGCTGCCCGATCGCGGGGAGCTATCAGCCCAGGAGCTGTGCTGGCAGGCAGACTCCAGGAGCCCGGCTCGGGCTTACCGGAACGTGGCAGGAAGGCACCGTAGCTCCTCTGTAGCCCCTTTTCCCGGTGGGCGGGGATGCCCCATGCCTGGCGCTGGGCCCAGGATGCTCGGACGTGCTGGGGGCACCAGGGGGCGACGGAGACCGCGCTGAGTCTCGGCTTGCGGCAATTCGTGCCCATGTTTCGGTTCCCAGAGATCGGGAGGTTTTGTTTTGTGGCTGGGCTAGAGCCGGCCCGGATTTTCACAGTGCGTGCGATGCGAAATGCATTGCACCTGGTGCTGCGGTAAGGTCAGGGATCAGGTGCAGCCGCAGGATCCCGTGCAGGTGCTGCAGTGACACAGAGAGCTCAGCAGAGGAACAAAAGGACATGCAGTCATGCAGCTTGCATCCTTTCCAGCCATGGAGATGGTATCCTTGGCTCATCAGATGCCCACATGCCTACTTAGTGAAGCTTAGGGAGCAGAAGCTGCTGAGATCATCATCACCCTGCATGTCTTCCCTTATACCTATTCCCTTATACCTACTCTGGAAGACTGTGTCTCATATCACACTGTACTATACCCTACCCTACTTACCTACCCTACCATGCCATACCAACACACACAATCCCCAGAACCATGCAGCAATACTCAGGCAAGGTCAAACACTGCCTCTGCTTTGCTAGGTGCCTCCTTAGATACACTGTGATCCTATATGCACCCTATAGAAAAGTGGCAAGGAGGGGGCTGGTGGCTGCTTGTGTGTGTGTTACAAATGGTATTTCAGATAGAAATATAGTATTTTAGCCACGTAGTGAAAATGCGATGGCGAAAGGCAGTTTGTGGACAGCATGCCTTGCCTGGTGAGTTGTTGGTTATTTGGTGGGTCACGTTTTGTGACTTATTAACTGCCAAAATGTGGTACAAACAATCCCAGAAAATCGCTCCTCCCAAGTTATTTGACCAAGAAAAATGCAGTCTCTGACACAGGGTCAGGTAAGTGCAGCAGCTGAGCTCATTCCTGAGTTCAGTGAGGAAATAAGATCCTATCATCTAAACAAAGAGGGAAACAATGCTGTAGGTTTTGTGTGACAAACTGCAAATGAACAGTGAATACCTGAAAAAAAGAAGCCATAGATAGAATACAAATTTTCCACATAATCCACTACATTCCTATCTAATGATGAAAGAATAGAACTGGGGCACAGCTGATCTAGAATGTGAAAGGCTACCTTAGAAAGAAATGCAACGATTGCAAGTGCCACAGAGTTTATGAGCTCTGGGGAATGCCCTTTGTGGAGGGGCTGCCCAGTTGTCATTAGACAGACCTCAGCTGCTACCTGTGCTGCAGCAGAATGGAGCTCATACCACAGGCTGAGGTGGAGCAACTGCATTTGACCTGCTTGGGGCTCTTCTGAGCAGGGGTCTCAATATTTATCTATTTGTTTGTTTGTTTGTTTGTTTTGCCAGTAAGGATATCTTTCTCCACAGCAGGATTGTTCCTTACATAGACTCAAATCCACCTCCACACTTTAGAATCTTATTGTGTAAAACAATGTGCATACATGTACACACACATATATGTACACACATGGAAATGATGACGAGCACGCCTTTTATGAAAACACAGCAATGCTCACAGCGCTGCCTCACTATAAAGGAGAGGCTGCTGAGGCTTGTCATTGCAGGATGAATTTAAAACAGCATCGCTGCTTTTAAAGTCATCCAGGAAAGGAAACCCGTCAAGGAAAGGATGGATGAGAGGATGTCAGAAGCGTTTGCACTTAATATTCCTGGAGCAAGCCTGTGTTGTTTGTTGCTGCAGCAGAGCTCTCTTCCCTGCCCCCTCTGGCAGACCCACATGCACACACAAAGATTCGTTCTCCACCCTTGCCAAAAATCCTGGTTTTGCCCCTTAGGTGCCATGCTCTCCTCCGTCCTGAATAAGGAGTGGTGATGGGGAAGTCCTTGGGATGGGGCTTGACTGATTGGACCAGTATGATGCATCAGTCCCTGCAGAGCTGGTGTCTTTCTGCCAAAGAATCATAGAAAGATGATCAAATCATAGAATCATAGAAAGATTATAAAAGCATAGAATGATAGAATTATTAAGGTGAAAGGGATCTTAATGCCCATCCCATTCCAGACCCCTGCTATGAGCAGGGACACCTCCCACTGGATCAGCCTGTCCAGGGCCCCATCCAGTCTGGCCTTGAACACTAGCATGCAAAATTACACCCAAGGGTCACGCACCACAAGGATGGGGACAGAGCAGGGGATGCCATGTTGTGAAGGTTCACGTGATGTTGGTGGCCTTGGGTTGAAGCCTTCCACTCACTCAGAGCCCCATTCCTGCGGGCTGGGTGTCACACAGGGAGAGAGTGCTGGAGCCCTGTGTCCCCAAGCCAAATGTGACATTGTCCTCTTTTCTCTTCCCTTCTCGTACCCTGCAGGACCCGGCACGGGGAGAGTAGACAATGGCTCCGTGAGCTTGGCCGTCCCACTGTGGCTGTTGGCAGCATCCCTGCTTTGCCTACTCAGCAAGTGTTAATACAAATCAAAATTAAAAATAATAATAATAATAATAATAATAATAATAAACCAACACGACAACAACAACAACAACGACGACAACACACAAAACAAAACGCATTATACAGGAGACAGAGCGAAGAGAGGGGAGAGAGAAAAAAGAGGGGGAGAGAAGAAGTGAGAGGACCGTTTCTATCACAACAACTTCTGCCTGTTCAGGAGCAAAGAGGGGGGAGAGGAAAAATCACAGCAGGACCACTCAGCAACGCTTACATGATTTCCGACTGCCGGCCGTCACAGCACCGACCTCACAAGGAGAGAGGCAAACGGGGCACCCGCAGGGCCCATGGAGCCACAGGATGCTGCGCTTCATCCACATCGATGACACCGAGCTGAGCAAAAAGAAGATCCCTTTTCTTTTCTCTCCTCCTTGCTGTTTTCCATACTCCTCACCTGCCTTCCTCCTTCCCTCCTCTTTCTTTCTTGCGCAGAAAGAGGTCTTTGCTTCAGTGTCTATAGCCACTTAACTTTTTGGATGCCCTTGGTCATTTTTGTGAGCCGATGCTCAGGCACTTCATACTTTTGGGAAGAAAAAAAAAAAAAAGGAAAAAAAAAATAATGAACAGAGCAAGTTATCAAAGCTCTCTGCGCACTGGTGTCCTATGAAGAACCCCTTCCTCTCTTCACATCATCCCATGCTCCTGTGCACTTTGCTAAATGCTTTCTGTCCTGCACCCTCCCTCTTGCAACATCCCACTCTGACCTGAAGGAAAGCTATGTCCTTCCAACCCAGCCTGCTCTTTTATTTGCTTTTTTTATTCTCTCCTTCTCCCCCTCAATTTGGCCAAGTGTCTTTCTCCAGTGTGTGCCTGCGTGCGTGCGTGCATGCGTGTATGTGTGGCCCTCGTGCTCTGTCTTCTCTTTCTCTCTCCTGCTCTCTCTAAGCATGCTGAAGAACAGTCCATGTGTACATACACCCATCCCACTGTAGATAACGTCCTGCCTTGTCAGTGTGAGACCGCATGCTGAGAGATCTCTTGGACTGAGAAGAGGGCTGAGGAGAGAGGAGCACCTGCAGCTCAGGGCCCCATGTTGGCCCCTCTCCAGAGTGCCTGGTCACCTTGACAGCAGGAGTCATTCTGCATCCTTTCTTCACCTTTTTTTCCCTCCCACCCACACCCGTCTGGCTCTCAGCCTTCATGTACCAGCAGAGCAGCTCATGTGGGTGTGAACCCCACAGTGTGATGGTTCCTAAATAGAACCATTGCCCCCTTCTGTTGTTGTCTTACTGTGTGTTTACACCGCTGCCAGGATGAAGCTCACTTTGCAGCTTACACATACAAAACAAACTGGGTCAGAAGATGTCCAGGACCTATGAATGTAAGAATAAAAACAAATATCAGATCCAAAATTCTGGGCTTAGCCAGAAGGGGCTTCAAGTGGTACAGTGAAGAAGTAGGCTACACTCTTGCCTCTTCCTGTGTGGAGGGTGCTGGGCCTGCTGGAGAGGGCTGTTGCTTCCAGGCAAATCCCCTGGAAATGCCATGCAAGTGCTTGGCACTGCCAGGCCTCTAAGCACCTGCAAGCTGGCTTTTCTCTATTTTGCCTACGAGTGGGCATAGCAGCATCATGCCCAGCAGCTTGCACATCCCAAGGCCTGGTGCCTTCCTCCTGACTGCCAGGCTCAGCTTTTGGGGCAGCAGCCAACAGGCAATTCAGCAGGCAGCCATGGTGAGTGAGGAAATGAGAAAGGCTGAGGGGTGGATAGTGGCAGACTTACTGTAGGCCTGCTGTGGGCTTGAGTGGTGTTATATTATGCTCAGTCTCCAGGCCTTGGTGCCATCATGTCCCATATCCCTCGGAGTGTTTGTATGCCCCTGTCACTGTGTCTGCATTTCAGGAGATCTGTGTCACTCAGCATGTTGGTCACAGCTCCAGATTTCCTGCTGCAGCAAAGGCTCCTTGTCCTCTGCGGGGTGACCCTGCAGCTGCAGGCTGATGCTGCTCCCGAATCTGGGAGTGGGAAAACTCCACATGGCCAGCATGTCTGGGTCCCCCTGGATCTGTTGGCACCAGGCTGCCCTTCCGGTCTGGGTTAAGTCCTTCCTGTTTAGGTTGAGGGTTCTCTTCCATGGCAGCCTGTTGGTCACTGTGGGGTCTGTCCTGTATCTTGTCCTGCACGGGTCACTGTGCAGCACTGTTGGGGTGCTGCTTGTATGCTATGTCCTCATGGGTTTGGGTGCTTTGAAGAGTTTTGAGGAGATTATTATATTTTTGAAGAAAGCACACAGGCTTTTGCTTTAAAGACAAATATGTTACAAAAAGCAGGACACCCAATTGCTGAAGCCATCTTCTTCACTGCAGGAAATGGCCACAACCTCGATGCTGGCTTCTGGTCTTTCCTGCAGGATGTCCACAGATTCATGTCCTGCTTGTGTGGCTGTGAGGCAGGCTTACAGCAGATCTACCCCAGGTGTGCCCCATGGGTGCTGCAGGCACTCCACTCTGCCAGATCTCTAGCAGGTATTACTCAGAGCATCTGCCAAGATAAGAGCTCAGATGAACAGGGGAAACATAAGGTCAGCTGCTCTCCCTTCCTTTGGCCATATCTCAAGCCCTTTCTTTTAGAGCTCTCTTTCTCTGCATTCACGTTCCTGCCTCCCCATCCCCTGCAGATAGCTATGCTCTTGCCTCCTACTGCCTCTTGTCTGCCTCTGGACTGGAGAGGGGGGTTTGGAACAGGACACCAGTTCCTTGAGCTTGTCAGTGTCATTGTGTTTGGTCAATGGAGATTTAACATTTAGTGTTATAAAAAGAAGCGAACGAAATGAAAAAAAAAAAAAAAAAAAAAAAAAAATTTTATTTCTTCTACCGGTTTGTAAATATTCCAAGAGTTACATGAAATGTCTGGTAATGTCCAAGCAGAGGAACAAAGACTTAGATTTAATATATGGCCCCGTACTTGCTAGCAGATTTCAAACCCTTTTGGATGGCCAAGCGGAGGGTGGAGGCAAGTCTTTCTGGAAGGAGCTGGGCAGCGGGAGTGCTACCTCAGCCTCCCACAGCATTGCTTGGCACATCTGGTGGGTGGCAGGCAAAGCAGGCAGTATGGGACTCTGCGTCTGACGCCTGTACCATGGCACTTGTGCTCATTTTTGTTCATTTCCAGCCCTGCAGCTGGCTGGTATGTTGCTCAGTGATGCGGGGGGGGGGGCCCCCCCCTCTCTTCACCAGTGACGTTGTGTCGCCTCATGCTAGCACTGAGTGCATGTTAACGTGCCATTCATGAAGATTTCATTGGTGACATGCATTGTGTTGAGAGTTGGTCTTTGTCTGCACAACTTTCTTACGCCACTGACTGTCGCTGCTTAGGCAGACCTCATGTACTGCTGCCTGCTCCCCTCTTGGTCAAAAAAAGCCTGAATTCCATCAGTGATCCTTAGCTCTGGGTGCATCCTGGCCATGCCCCCAGACCACTTGGCTGAGCAATCTCATTTGCAACGTCCGAGCCCCCAGCACAGATCAAGTTAGTCATGCCGTCATCTGAATGGGAGCTACACGTCTGGAAAGGATCTTGGGGGAGCAACAGAGAGTTCTGAGGATTCAAGAGCATTTTGGGAAGAGGATTTGGGAAGTCAGAGGAGTTGCATTTAAGTCCTTCTCAACCTGCCATTGTTCAGCTCCATCTTGTGCTATATCTTCTTCCTCCCCTAAAGATGGAGATCATGGGCAAGGATAACAACTCTTCTCCACCCACACCTCTGATCCAAGCACACTGACTGGTCACCCACACCATCACAGTGCTTGATGTGATGTAGCAACAGTGACAGTCTTGTGGAGGTCGTAGTGGGTGAGAAGTTCTCCCCCTCTCTCTTCTCCTGCTGCATGATCTCACCGCTTCTCTGGCTCCAGAATTCCTTGAGCTAGGGATGCTAGAAGTGAACTGTCCCATGGAAAGAGCAGCATGCCAGGCAGGGAAGCAGAGGTGAAACTGGATGGTAATTTCCAAGGTGTGATGGCAGTGGAAATGGGTAAGGACGAGTGCTGCCCGTCATCCACGCACAGAGCTCCTAGGCATACCAGCGGGCAGACTGTGCCTCTCAGCACTGGTCATAAAGTGGCTTCATTTCCAGCGGGATACCCTGAAGATATTTTATTTTAAACTGCATGACTCCTGCTACAAAGAGCTGTGTCACACCATTAAAGCCTCTTTCTCTTTTCCTTCTTGCAACTTGCTAGAATGGTGCTCAGGTAGATCCTGCGTCCCCCCAAAGTTTCTGCTTGGCTCCCATCAGGCCAGGCTGAGATATTTACTGTGGGAAAGCAGAAGTCAGCTGGGGGAGGATATGTAGGTGAGGCCCTCTGTATCTCTGCAGCGTAGGGAGATGTGGTGGCAATGAGATCAGCCAAAACACGGCTTGGGAAAAACGAGCATCTCTCCAGGTTAGCCCAGAAGGGTGGCAAGTGAAGAGTCCTTCCTTTGTTGCAGATTGAAGTCACTTCTATGCTGCAGTGCCTCAGCCTGCCTTGGTAAGCCCTGCAGAGGCACCCAGGCAACAAAGAGGAAGGGGCAATGCATGTCAGAAGGTCACAGGACCATAACCCAGGTGCAGTTCCTAGGTAGGGCAGGGGGGG